ACAAATCAGTCACCAACGTATTGCATAGAAAAAATAAAAACAACCTTTGGTCTTAAAATTACGTTGGTATTGACAATTTGTTAATCGCAAAAAAAAATAAATAAATGTTATATAATATCCCAGCAAAAACATGGAAATGACATGTTCTTACTTAACATCTTATTTTTCAATGAATACTACACACCGTCTGCAATACTCTGAAGGAATCTATTAATGACTTACAAAGTAATATTATATGTAAGTACTTACTTTATAGCCTTTTATTGTTTTCCAATGAAATGAAAAAAAAAATAATAATATTTGCGACGTATCATCGTTGGTTATTTTAAACTTTTTAATTTTAGCATTGTAACCCCTTTTCAGTGTAACTTTTGCTGGGATATGTGTATACTATTACGGGTTTATTTGCACAAATATGATAAATGGATACATAATAAATTATTAGTGTGTTAATAGTAACTTAATTCCAGGTCTGGCCAAAAAATGTATTTCATTTTAGTTTTTAAAAAGTATTTAGCTACAATAATTTTTGGACAAAGTTCTAAATTTGGCAATTTGATCCAAAATTAAAACTAAGCAAAAATACAATTAATTAATAACATACTCAATACAAATTTTTCTAACCGAATCTATAATTTAGAATGGCAGGCAGAAGGATCAAAATTGAACAAAAATACACAGAGGAAAAAAATATACACGCCTGGTACCAAATTGACACCAAATTTTTCAATAACATCCATTGTCAAGTATATACATACATACAACAACAAATTGTAATGTAGACCACGCAACTTTGAAAACATTGCAACAATTCGTTGACACAATCTAAACTTTATGCACATCCGTTGTCTAAATGTTAACAAACGTGGTAAGCTTACCACGTTTGTTAACTTGTTGTTATATGTATGTATATATATACTTGACAATGTATGTTATTGAAAAATTTGGTGTCAATTTGGTAGCAGGCGTGTATATTTGTTTTCCTCTGTGTACGTTATACCAATAAATAGTATTTGGGACAAATAGAATTATAGGAAAATTCATCATAACGGTCGAATATAATATTTATACTTGTTTAATGAACGTTTATAGGGCGAATTTTTGAAATGATAATTTCTACTACAAACCTGCGGGCTGTTGATGCCCACTCCTGCATACTATAACAATTATTTTGCAATTGTGTTTATGTGATTTTTAATTATTTTTTTAAACTTTCCCAAATTAGTAGCGCGATAAAATTAAACAAAAAAATACAAATAAACTTCTGTATGTATGGGTAAAATGATAAGACCTGTAAAATTAAACACTTTTTTTGATATTGTCGCTAAATATTCGTAAAGCTTATAAAAAAGTGACACAATTATTATTATTATTTTTTAGCGACAATTTATAACAATGTCATGGACAGACCTTAAGTACACATTAGAGTGGTTCGTTATCTGAAATGCAAAAGTGATTAACAACACTTTTGATAATTTTACAGGAGACATAAAGAACTAAATAAAATCAAAACTATTGTTATAAAAATTATGTACGTTTTTGTATATATTCTTAAATGCATTGTATAAGGGGAATGTGCACCAGGAATGACAAAATTGGTACAAACTTTTTTGGTACAATTCGATCTTTAAAAATACAATGGTACACCAATGACCTTATTGAAATAATATTTTAAAATTGTACTTTTTACACAAAGACTACCTATTGCGATCAGTAGTCTTCAGAAGAAGACAAATACAATTCCTGTTTATATTCTGTCATATTATAACGAATCCTGGAAAAGATTACAACCTGACAAGCAGTCATTTTTTTATCCTATAGCTAAAATTTTAATTAATTTAAAAGGTCTTTCGAATATAGATTTGGTACAATCGGATTTCCTGATTATAAATATTAATACATTTATGATGAATAGAAAACCAGTAAAAGTTACTTCATTTTAATCAAGAATATTGATTTTCTTCACTTCGTTAGATATTTGGGATTGTTATTCATGATTTTTTTTGGCTTGTTTAACAGTTTTAAATTAAATTACTAAATATGCGGTAGAATTTATTTGGGCACTTTGCCAAATTAAAAAAATGTTTTAAATATCTAAAAAAGTTATAAAAAATACAATTGCGTGTATTGTATTTATTATACCCAAGTCAAAAAATTTAGGTATGAAAAAAAACAATACTCGTTCCGTTTGTAATAAGAGCACAGTGAATTACTCTAAAAATATGAATATTGCTCATGTGCTTAAACATTTTTAAAAAATGTATGTGGATGCGAGTAAAATGGATCTAGCTATGTATATCCACTATATATGGTCCCCATAAAATAGACATAGCTGATTAAAATTTGTTCTGAATGTGGAAAGATGTACTTATGTATATTTCTTTAAAATTATAAAGAGCAATCCGAATACAACAAGAATCAGAATTTTATATAATCATCGTCAAAGCATGGGCCGTAAAAGTACGGGAAAGATATCTGAAGAAAGTTATAAATCAAAATAACAGTGAAACACATCCCACATATGAACCTGGTCGTGATAGACCTTAAAGCACCAGACCATACAAGAGAATTGTATTCCATTTTTGGTCGGATATAAGTGGAGAAAATAATATAATGGTCAAATGGAGTGAAGTATGCTTTACACTATTATAACCTGAATGTTTCCTTCTAGACTTGAAATATATTGGTTTTGTTTAGCGCATCTCATACTGTATTCTCATGCCCATAACATCAAGGGCTTCTATAACACCGTCCGAAAAAAAGAGAAAAAATTCGTTAGACACGAATCGGATGATGTATGTCTGCAACTATAAATTTAATGAAGAAAAACTGCCTTTTTTGTTTTTAATTTCGTTATCTTGTGTTCTTTTTAAAGGACTTCAAAGTTTTCGAAAGTAATTTTTTCAAAATATATTTTAAAATACTTCTACTGATCAAACAATGTCAAATTTGACGTCAAGCGAACAGGAAGATTTGTGAAATATTTTGTATTATTTTTATTTTATACTGTCAGGATAATGATTTTGACGTCTCTAATACTTCTTAAAAAAAATACTAGATCTATATTAAGAGAATGTTTTGCTTTATTTACCCAGTTTCCAAAATGCTTGAACTATAATTGAATGAGTACGAGAGATAAATAATGTAATTATATCCAAAATATAGCTTTTAATGAGGATTAAGTTCAATTGAGGACCATGTTCTCTTTCTTCAAATTTTATTATACTTCAGAAATTTTAAAAAATTTATCCACAATAAAGTGATTTATAAGGGCTATATTTTAGAATATAATTTCTTTATATTTCAAAATTCTTTACGATTTCTGTTTAAATTGTATTCCGGAGGCTAACTTTATGCTATCTATATAGTATGTGAAATTGTAGGCCTATACTGTCTATTTTCAATACCAAAATTAAGGATCAAGAATATGGTGGATTATTTCGATGTTTTACAAACGGAATAACAAAATCTTTTTTTATAAAGGTTATAACTTATTGTTAAATATTAGCCACCTTATTCATAAACAACATTTTATTTTATAAAAGTTTTATAAAACAAAATTTTCATACGAAATTTGATTTATAAATCGTTTATAAAATAAAATTGCGTTTATGAATAAGGGGGTAAGAGAATTTTGGAATATTAAAAAATTAAATATCAGTTTTTGGAACTTGAAATTATAAAGTAAACATAAGTCTTAAAAATAATTTATAAAAGCGTGATAGTTAAGTAATAAAATCCAATTTTTTCATATTCGATTTGAAACAACTTGAAATTCATATTACGTTTGTTCTAGAATTTAATTCTTAATCGAATATTTTTTCAAATTCTTTACTTTATCAATGGTTTATTCAAAGTTCATATGTATTTAAGGTAAAAGGATTGCACAACGTAAAAAGTATTTTTCCTAAACGAAAGAAAATTATGATAATTATCTGCATTGCAAAATTTTAGCTACATTCTGTCAACCTTTCACCACCGATATGTGTTACCAGTTTAAATATAAAACCTTATACGTATTTGTACGTATGAATGTACTTACGCATGTAGTATTTCTTAAAATCACGCCACGATGACACACCTTTTTGAATATGTACGAATGTATTATGAAGTCACTTTAATATAAAGCAGAAACCCGTAAAAGATAATAAGAGATGGGCTGACTCTATATTCTGGTTTGACCACCACTAAATATAGTACATATCGCACACCCAGTACAAAATTGACACAACTCAAAATTTTTTTTTTTCAGAAAAGGGAAAAATTTTTTTTACAAACTCTGAAACATAAAGAAAGACATAACGTTTTTTCTTGAACAGTTAACAGTTTTTTTTTTAGATAAATAAGTATCTTGTGACTATGCACAAGGCTTAAACTTAAGGCTTAAAGAATATAAAAACGCAAAAATAAAATTTTGAGTTGAGTCACTTTAGTACTGGGTGTACGATATGTACGTATGTATGTATATTTTGGATTTTCATGATACTAGTCACAAGCTTAATTAATATACAAATGTTTGGGTTCTTGGAAAGTTTTAAAACGATTTATTTATCCGCTATTCATTTAAAATCATTTCTCATATAACGGTGTGAATTTTCTATGACTACAAATAAATATATAATTGTTAGATAAATATTTGCACTAAATAAATAAAATCAATATTGTTGTGTTGCAAATAGATTATTGAGATTATTTTTTAGTTCAACATTAAAATGAAAACTAAATATGTTTTACTATCTATATTTTTGCATAGAAACTGATTATTACAAAAATAACACGTTACAAAAACATTTTGTTCGTCTATCGGTCGGTCCACTTTCATTTCATATTGGTTAAATTCGGTTAAAAATTTGTAATAAAAAAAATTTATAAAATTTTAAATTAACAAAAAATATTTAGTGCATGCAAAAAATTAACAAAAACATATGTTGTTGTAACTAACATTAATTATTTCAAATACATAAATATTTTGACTGAAAAATGATTCCTTTTACTTTCAGATTTTTCCACTGTTCTAAAAAAATGGATATGGCCGGCGGTATACATGATCCAAAATGGAGTTTGGAACGTCGGGAATCATCAGGTTTCTTAGTTTGGCGCAAAGAATCGCCCAGTTCTAGAATACGTTTTCGTTTGGATGTTGAAGTTTTGGAATTTGAAAAACATCCACATGAAGATTACGATTATCATGACGATAATGCTCTGACAATTGGAAATATATCTTCAACTGTAATGCTGTGTGCCACCTGTGTTGCTGCAGTTGCTGTCAGTGTATTTGTACCCTGGTATTTAATGGAAAAGGCGGCCAATTTTTAAAATTTTAAGTCCAGCTGAAGTTGATTTCAGAACCGTGTATTTAACAAACAATGGAAAAGAACTGATATTTGTTACGTGTGAAAAATGGTTGACTGGAACAGGGTTTTTGCCTTAAAATCTTATTGTAGAAATATTTATATTTTTATACATTTACTTACAATCTGAAGAAGTTATTATTGCCTCAATGGCTTAAAATGCAAGAAAATTTTGTAGTGTATTTGTATTTTATGAGTATGAACGTGTGATGTGTCTGTGATGGAAGTAACCTAGTTATGATTAGTCAGTAATTTTATTTAGTTATAAATGTAATATCCTATACATATACATACATACATATGTACATTCATGTATACTTACTTATTAATTAATAATAATTGTAAATGTAATGGCAATGAAATATTTGTTAAAAAACATTTTGTAAATTTTCTATTGTAATTAAATTAGTAAGTAATTTAAGTTAAAACTGCCCCAGTTGTAAAATATTTATCCAAAAATGTATAAAGTTAAAAACAAATAAAGAAGTTTTCATATACTTACATATAAAATTATATAGTAAATTAGTTTTATTGGGAAATATTGTATTAATAAACGATTATTAAATATAAATATGGGTTATTTAACACTTAAGTATTACTTTAAACTGTAGAGTACAAACACATGTGATACTTAAGAGTTAAAAAGACAAGACAGATGTATATCAAAATTCGACCTTTTAAAATTGAGTACAAAAAATGTGAAGTTCTAATTTAAAAACATATATTAATGTATAAGGGCAATTTCATGTCAAGTGACCCAATTTTTAAAATCTATTTTTGATTTGGTTGAAATTTGCACCAAGGTTAGTACTATTGGATAGTAGGCCAGCTCTATCGGTCAAGAACTGCCAGACTTTGAGCAAAAAAATACGACAAAAACGTCCATTTTGAAAAATAAAAAAAAAATGTTTTTTTTTGAAACATTGCTAGAAAAGTCACACACATTTGAATAAAATCCTGTATGACCAAAATGTCAAACTTTGACCCCCTCTAAGTCAAGCAGTTCTTGATCGATAGAGCTGAAAATTTGTGTCTGGCCTACTACTTATCTCATGATTTGTTAAACTTTTAACTTAAAAGTTATTTAAGAAATGTTATATTCAGCATTCAAAATTTGGACTACTGAAAATCGGAACCAATCAACCAAACTAACAAATGACTTTTAAGAAATACTAAACTATCAGTTTTGGTCCAGTTGGACCAAAGTGGCAAAGGTGCTATTATTTCTGGAGAGCCATTCATGATCATTTCTGAAAATCAATATACCATTATCTCTTTTTAAGCTTATATTTTTAGCTTTTCAGGGATTTTAAAAATCGCGGAACTTGTAGTCGATGGTTGGGATTACTAAAGCAATTCTGACTTTAGCTCATTTGATAACATTAAATATTTTTTCTTTATTTTGCAAAATCCATGAAGGTGTTAACAAATTGAAAATTAGCAACGATTAGTTTCATTTATGACATCAATTCAAGCAATTTTACTTTATGGGGATGTTAATTTTTTAATGGCGTCTAAGGAATTTTCTCTTTTGCAACCATTGTATTTAACGTTAATTAAATAAAGTAACAAAGTGATTGCCTTAAAATGATGCGAATCTTTAAATTGAGGATGTTGCAATCATCCCCTGCATGAAAGGGATGTTTTAACACATAATGCTGATGCAAAGTAATACATACATACATTAATATACATATATACAGCAAAATGGAGGTAAGCTGCACTGCATCTCTCAGATACATTTTTTAGAATATATAAACATTGATAAAAGTTTAATTAATGTAATGTAAAAGTAACTAAACTACATTAATAATGATTATTTTTCTATTACTTTTTAATATGAAAATAAAATTCATTAATTTTGTTGATTGCATATTTAAGATAAAATTAACGTTTTTTAAGATTGTAAAAATGTTTATTCAAAAATATTTGCACGCTATTCTTTCAACTGAGTAAAAATTAATACATATGTATTTGATCGTTCAAAATTGATCCATGGCGACTCACAATCACACATTTAATTCCTAATGACTATTGTCAATTAAGTTTTGTTAGAACATCAATGCTACAGAATAAAATCTTCCGATATTTATGAAAAGTCGACAAAGTGAAAAGTTATTTTAGATACTACTTTAATTTGTATATACATACATACATATATACTCATCTTTAGTTAAATTAGTTGGTTACGTTATAAATTTTAAATACATTTAGTTGGTGTTATAGTCAAAAATGCCATAAAAATTATAGCATAGTTTTAGGCATACCTATTTTGGTTGAATAATCGGTTTCTATTAGAAACTTATTAATTTTGCAATAACTAAAAAGTTCATTTTTTCGCAGTTACACAGTATTATTTTAAACAGTTAAATTTGAAAAAATTGTATTTCTTTTTAGATGAGGAACGATAAAAACAACATTTCTGTTTGGGTGGAACCCCATTACTGTTCCAAATCAAAATTTAGGTGGATAAAATTATTTGAGGATCCTTTTTTATTGAATTGGTGTCTCTGAATCCAAAGAACTGTAACTTCAAAAATAGCTAATACAGATCTTTATTAGTTATTTTTGAAGTTACAGTAGGGTCAAGATATATGAAAATATATAGTAATGCGGATTTGGTGTCTTTGAATCTAATAATTCGGTTTAAAATTGTCTACCATATAATAGAGTATATATTTTTTATGTTACAAGAGGATTTAGTAATAAATTTCCTCAAATGACATTTTATTAAAATTGAAAAAAACGGTATTTTTGCGGTTATAATTTTCCATGGAAGTTCCTTTAAGAGACAAATATGGTCATTAGACTGGTTTTGAGAGTGAATCCAATAAATATAAAATGTATATGTATATTTATTAATTTTCTATTTATTGGGTTATACGTTTAAAAAATTGAGAGATACAATAATTTAAAGATAATATCCACGTTTGAATTGATTTAAACAAAAGTTGTTTTGTTTAACTTTGTTATTAATTAATAACACTGGTTTACAAAAATTTTGTTCAGGATATAAAACCAATATGGGTCTTTATTTAGGCCGTCTAAGTCCAGAAAAAATATTTAAAACAAGTTAGAGTGCTATATTCGGATATGCCGAATCTTAAATGCCCTCCACCAGCAAGCTACTTTTTATAAAAACCCGTTTAACTATATAATTTTTAGATAACTTGACAAAATTTTTGTTTCCGTAGTGAGGGTACTAATATGCATATGTGGAACTAATTGTGATTAAGTCTAGAAAAAAATATATTAATAGACCAATTCGAAAACATTTTAATAGAATGATTTATCTATACACAGAATTGTATCAGGATATAATCATTTAATAATGAATTAGGTGGTATTAAGTGATTTTCAGAAGTAAAATTCCGTATAACGATTTATACATACATATATACAAAATATACATTTACGTCGAATTTTATCCCGATAACTTTGGTTGTCAATGTGCGTTTAAGTAATTTTCGGAAATGGTCCTTATATGGGAGTTGTGACCAATTATGGACCGATCAGGAAAAAATTTCGTATAATAATTTATATGCCAAAAAAATTCAAGTCGAATCTTACTCCAAGAGATTAGTTAATAAAATATGTGAGTTTAAGTGATTTTCGTAAGTGGAGCTATGATCAATTACGGGCCTCTCTGGAAAAATTGCGTAGAGTTATTCATATGTATGTACACAAAATATATTTGTGTCGAATTTTATAAAGATAGCTTCATTTGATAATGAAATTTGTGTGTTTAAGTGATTTTTTGAAGTGGATCTTATATAGGAGCTATTACTAATTATGGACCGATCCGGAAAAATATTTGGTAGAGTGACTCATATATAGACAAAACATATTTGTGTCGAATTTTATAAATATAGCTTTATTTGACAATTAAATATGTGCGTTTAAGTGATTTTCGGAAGTTGGCCATACATGGGACTTATGACCAATAATGTACCGATCCGAAAAAAATTTGGTAGAATGATTTGTATGTACACAAAACATATTCAGCTCGAATTTTATCACAATAGTTTTATTTATTGATGAAATATATGCGTTTAGGTGATTTTCGGAAGTGGACCTTATATGGTTGCTATGACCAATTGTGGACTGACTGAGATCTACGTTGGTAGCATGATTTCTGTTCATATTATATTTGAAGATGAACTAATTTCCGGGAATGGGGGCTATGGAAAATGAGAAAACTACTTAAGAATTGGGAAAAAACGTAATTTTTTTCGAGGTAGTCTGAAATTTTTACTCATAACTTCTTACGTCGTACTGTACCGGATAATAAAGAATATTTTGAGTGAATTTCGTGAATTTCTATGGCTTCGTTTTAACGTGAACGTGTTTTACACAGACAGACGGACAGACAGAGGGACATAACTCAATCGACTCAGAATTTCATAAGGTCTCATATGTATATTTCTTGGTGTTACACACGGAATGACAAAGTTATATATACCCTTTATCACCACTAATGGTGGTGGAGGGTATAAAAATCTTGGACGTCAATTCTTTTAATTATTTATTAAGAAAGAAAATGCTTAAAAGGGTTAAATTCGAAAAAAATTTATACAGAGTTTTAGTTATATTTAATATAAAATATTTTATGGGTCTCATTCACAACACTTTAGCAAAGGTTTTCTTGTCACTTCCAAGAGTTTTTCGGTAAAAATATAAATCATAATGTAACTAATGAATTATGAGGGATATATTCAAATCCGGCTCAAAAGGCTCAAGCTCCCTATAATCACTCGCTTTCAAATATGTATTTTACCAACACTCCTGAAGGGTGATGTAAAATTAAAATTTCTTTATCTCAAAATTTTGACATATAGGAAAAAATAAAAATTGTTAATTAACCATCGGACAATACCGTTTCCAAAAATATGTGTTTCAAATTGAAAAAAAAAATGAAACTTTCAATCCATTAGCAAACAAAAAGTATTAATCTGTAAACTAGTGTAATAGACAATGAAACTCATTAGAGAATTTGGCACTAAAATCTTATTTAGACTCAATGACTCCTTAAACTGAAATCAGCGATTAAGTGGGAATTGGCAAAGGTACGAATAGGGATATCAAACACGTTAGTCAATTAATTCCTGATCAGTGTGTACTCCACTTCTAGACTTGTTCATGAATGCCAGACGTCTCTAAAAGAGATGGCGAGACATTCAAACATTGTTTGTTTAAATTAAATTTCGTGAGAATATGTAAATGAATGATCCGGTTATATTTCAACCATGTTTTGCTTATAAATATTGCTTAGTTTTTATATAAAAACCATTGCCGAATCTTATATATCCTTCACCATAGTGTATTTAAAAAATATTAAATTTATAAAATTTAAATATATGTACATATGTATTTTATTTTCTCGACTCTATCATTACTTTAGCAATAGCAAAACAAAAGGAACAACAACAACGCTAAAATAAATAAAACACACAAATAAACAAAATACACAACGCAATGAAACCAACAGCATCCAAACATAACAAAC